TATTTTCTAGGTTCATTGATGGTGTAGCACGTATTAAACTGTGTGGCTAATATGCCACTGTATGGACGGGGAGGCTTCGAGTTTGTGGGAAAGGGAATTGAGAGAAAACGTTTCCCAAAAGCCTTTTGAAGTCTCCTTGTGTGTACACTTACCTGTTCATCTGCTGATCGGCACTTTGGTTGCTTCTACCTGGTGCCTGTCGTAACTAGTGAGTGCTGCAGTGAACACTGGTGTGCATGCATTCTGTCTATAGGGGCTGCTGCTTTCAAGTCGCTTGGGTGTGTACCTGGGAGTGGAGTTACTGGGTCACATAAACCTTCTACAAGCAACCTTTCTAGGAACCACGAAACTGTTTCCCACAGCAGTTGTAGCCTTTTTCTGTTTCCACCAGCAATGGATAAAGGTTCTAGTTTCTCCGTGCTTGCCAATGTTTGTTGTTTTCCTTTTAAAAACAAGTCATTTTAATAAGGGTGAAATGGTAGCTTTTATTTATTAGGCTCTCTCAAGGTTGTGACTTTTGGGTAAGCACTTAACTATTTATGTCACAAAGAGAGTCCTGGGTTTAATTTTTATGTCCTTACAGTGGCTGCGGCAATGGGCCCAAACATCGGAACCATGGTGAGGATGGTGCAGGACCGGGCACTGCTGTTCTGCTGTGCACAGGATCGCTGAGCCAGAACTAACTCGGGGTTAGGAGACCTGGAAGTGGTTAAGTGCTCAGCTGTTAACAGAAAGGTTGGAGATCGGAACCCACTAACCACTCTATGGTTGGTTCTGTTATACACAAAGTTGCTTGTCAATGACAGATAACAACAGAGTATCTTTACTGATAAATCAGTTATTAGATAGTATGGCTTATAGTATCTTGATGGCAATGAATTTTTTAAAACACAGAAGCTTTGACAAATGTGTTGAGCAACTCTACTCTGCACACATGGAGTTATCATGAATGTCCAGTTCCTGTCTGTACCAGTGTACATCCTCTGATCTAGCCAGATTTGTGAGGTAGAATTGGGACCTTGATAGTGAGGGAGAAGGAAACATTTAGGAACTCAAGGAAAGTTGTATGTTTCATCATTGCTACACTGGCTGGTCTGGTCTGGTCTCCTCCCCGCGACCCTTCTGTAAGGAGATGTCCAGTTGCCTACAGATGAGCTTTGGGTCTCCATTCTGCACTCCTCATTCACAATGAGAAGATTTTTGTTCTTAGATGCCTGATACCTGATCCCATCGATACCTCATGATCACACAGGCTGGTGTGCTTCTTCCATGTGGGTTTTGTTGCTTCTGAGCCAGATGGCTGCTTGTTTATCTTCAAGCCTTCAAGACCCTAGATGTTCTATCTTTTGATAGCCAGGCACCATTAG